GGCAATAAAGCTCTTTCTGATTCTGATTCTGATTCTGATTATTATTAAGTCTCTTACCGGCTCAGACTGCATAGGGTAAGCTTATGGGTCTGTCACGTGATGAACGAATGACTCGAAAAACCCGAAGACTCGAGAGATTAACTAATCAATTCTCTTTCCGGCTTAGACTGCATTGGTTAAACTTATGGGGCTGCCACGTGATGAACGAATGACTCGAAAAGCCCGAAGACTCGAACCAGGTGAACTACTTGAAGGACGTTATTTTTATTGTGTAATTCTGGCTCTGATAGGATGTGCATATAAGTGTATTTTTTATTGTACTGTATGTGTTTGCTGTTTTATGTTTTTATGTTAGTGATTACCTGCCAAGGGGCCGCGGATGAAAACTAGCCATTGGCTAAATTTGGTACAATGCATGAAATGCAAACATTTACGTTAAAATTGTACATGGTCCCTTTTCAAATACATTTTAATAAATAAATAAATAATAGCGAGGCTGTTGGAGCATTAGACCCTGGTGAGGTGGTGTGTGCAAACGCTTAGTCCCTCCCCCTCCCCATGACCTTTAACCCTGGTTCGCTACACACTGCACACCTCCTGCTGCTCTGTCGCTCAGAAGAGAGACACTAGTGCAGACAGAGAGGGCAGAGAGCTGATAGAAAATGGCAACAAAGAGAGAGATCAAATGCAAATGCTACTGGGGGAGGATAGTTATGCATCTGCAAAATTCATATTTCAGCCGCACTCCCTCAGAAACCACTTCGATCATCATATTCAAGTTGTCTATGCAGTGGAGGACTCTTAAAGCAATAGTTCAAAATCTGTCATTATTTATTCACCCTCATGTTGTTCCAAACCTGAATGACTTTATTCTTCCATGGAACGGGATACTTTTATGGTGCTTTTTGTCAATTTGGAGTTTGACAGCCCCAGTCCTTATTCACAGTCACTGTATGGAAAAGAGTGGCCAGGATATTCCTCATAAAGTCATATATTGTGTTTGGAATGACATGAGGGTGTGTAAATAATGACAGAATTTTCCATGTTTTATTTTTTTTGCATGAACTGTTCCTGTATTATGATTCCATTCTGTATTTCTTTATTTTTATTTTATTTTTGAATGGTTTCTTTATTTTTATTTTAATATTTTATTATTTTTCTAATATTTTATTTTATCGTTCTAATTTTTCTCGCTCTTTTTCATATTGATGCTTTGGCAATATAGTAGGTAAATTACTTAAAATAGTATTTTTTTATGTTTTATTTTATTATTCTAATGTGTCTCACTCTTTTTCATATTGATGCTTTGGCAATATAGTATGTAAATCATTTTACATTTTATTGTATTTTTTAAATATATTTTATTTATGTATTTAACGATAAATGTTATTGTATTTTTATCAGAATTTATATTTTTAGGTGAACTATTCATGATGTTCACTTAGTCTTTCTTTTATTTCTTTTAATTTATTTAAATTTAATTAAAATTTTCAGTATTTTATTTCACTTTTCTCTGATATTTATTTTATTTTTTTATGTTTTATTTTATTATTCTAATTTGTCTCCCTCTTTTTCATATTGATGCTTTGGCAATATAGTATGTAAAGCATTTTAAATTGTATTGTATTTTTTTAAATATATTTTATTTATGTATTTAACAATAAATGTTATTGTATTTTTATCAGAATTTATATTTTTAGGTGAACTATTCATATGATGTTCACTTAGTCTTTCTTTTATTTATTTTCATTTAATTAAATTTAATTTAATTTTTCAGTGTTTTATTTCGCTTTTCTCTAATATTTATTTTAATGTTTTATTTTATTATTCAAATTTTTCTCCCTCTTTTTCAAATTGATGCTTTGGCAATATAGTATGTAAAGTACTTTAAATGGAAATTGAGAAAGAGAGAGAATTTCTTTCCAGAAGAGGCAAGAGAGAGGGGAAGATAGAGGAGCAAAGCATGGGAGCACCACAAACTCTGAACCTGAGAAACAGAGATAACAGTGAACCAGCAGACAGCAAATACAGCATCAATCTCCTCAGTCACTCCTTCTCTTTCAGCTCCTCTCTCCATCTCTTTTCCCTCCAGTGAGTCTGTTTTTCTCCTGGATCCTCATGCGGAGTGCTCCTGTGTGTTTGTAATAGACCCTTTCCACGTGCTGCCTTCTCTCTTTTCCCTTGCCTTGCTCTCTCTCACCTCTCCAGCACACATGGAACAGTTTATCTAGGAGCTTATTTTTTGCGCCTATTAAGCAAAGTTCCTTCTCACAAAAAAAAAAAAAAAAAAAAAAACGGCAGCCACAGAGAGAAAAACTCTTTTTATTATGATTGTATAGCAGCACTGCGAAACAGACGGAGAGCTCGAGAAAGGCAAAGAGAGACAGAGAAAACCCCCCTGGTAAGCTGTGGCTCCACCACGCATGAGAAAATCAATAAAGCATCCCTTTAAAAGAGGTTGACGGATAATGGAGAAAGACAGGTGGGAGAAACAGACTTTCTGCCCTTTCTCTTTTCGCTCCATCCCACAAATACACCATCCACGCAACAAAACTGCATCACTGCCTTTGCTACATCACAAATGCGTGTTTACGCTGCAGATTCTCTTGTTAATCATAATGGGAGCAATATAGTTGCAGTGTCAAGAACATCTGTAATTCCTGGAGAGAGCGATCTGTTAGCATTCCCATTCATCTCAATAGCAGTTGCTATAAAAATGTTGATTAGTTAATTGGTTTATATGAAGCCGTTTGTTTTTGGGGCATTACTGTTTGAATTGGGCTGCGTTTCCCAGATGTATCACATTCTGAGTTGGTCATAGAGACAAGTAGTCACAATGGTTTCTACAGGAAGACTTACAACACTTTTGGAAAACGTAAGCCCTGCATGTTCCCTTTTGAAACATCTCACCCGTGTTTCGGGTCTCGCGGCTACTGAGGCAGTTAATCAGACCGATCACGGGGATTGTAGGCGGGGCATGGAAGGAATCTGACGAGGAGTGCTTTCTCTTTCAAAATTCCTTTTTTGTTTAATTTTATTTCACAGAATAGGAACTGTGTATAATGTTAGATATCTACATTATTGGTGAAGGAGGCTCCTGACTTGGTGAAATGGCAAGTTTTTTGAGTTGTTAGACTCTTGTTTGAGCCTCCTTTGAGCCTCCTCATCCTCTCAGCCCAGGTACGTGAATATTTAGGTTGAGGAGAGAGTTATACTGAGCACTCTGCTCCCCAGTATTTTCATTTGCAGTTATTTCAGAGTTTTTGAGGCTCTCTGTGAGCCTCCCTGATCAGCTGTTCATGACCCTGGTAGCTCCCCCTCCCTTTGAGGGTCGCTATGCTGAGATCACAGTTCCTAGTGTTCTTTCAGCAGAGCTCTGTGGCTGTTGTTTAGGTTGGGTGGGCCTCCTTGATAAGTCGCTCTTAGGTCGAGCTTTTGAGTACTCCCCTCACTTGAGTCACTTGAGGTGTAGTTGAGTGTAGTCAGGTCTCCTCTCGTTTTAGAGAGTCGTTATGCTGAGACCTCCACTCTTAAGAGCCCCCCTACCAGGGTTGAG